AGATTTTTTTAAGAATAAAAAAGCTAATAAAAAAAAAAAATAAGAGGCTGCTTTTCTCCTCTGGTTCGTGGCAGAAAAGCGCGGTCGAATGCAAAGGGGGCGGACGCTCACTGCCATTGGGAACTGAACAGAGCAGCCGCCTCCAACAGCCCAGAGCCTCAGCTGGGTGCGGCCCAGCCCTGCTCCCCAGGCGGCCCGGAGCCTCGCCCAGGCAGGCCTGGGAAGGAAGATAAACCCTGGGCTAAACGGGAGGCAGCGGGAGCCGCTGCACGGCCCTCAGCCGTTTTGCAAACGCTTCTTCCGTGCCAAGCTCTGCTGAGAAATGTAGGAGATTACGCAACGCGCATAGGTCAGAGGTCTCTTGTGGGGGTCAGCAGCTGGCCGCCTCAGGCTCAGAGCTGGACCGTTCCCTTGCTCTGTTCTGTAGCCCCTGCTCGAGCCTCCAGACCTTTATTTTTCGGCTCCAGGTGAAAAGAGAAACCAGGAAAATACTCCTTCTCATATAAAGCTATGCCGGCCTGCTTGTTTGCAGCTGGTCAGCAGCTGGCGGCGTCCACATCAAATCCAGCCCGTTGCTACCTCGCGCTCGTTGGCCCACTGCTTTCTTTCGCCTGCAGGCCAAAGAGAGTGAGCTTGGGGTTCAGCTGGAGAGCCAAATGGGACACGCAGGAAGGCTTTGGTGCTTGGGTCATCCTTGTTGATGGCTGTTACAGCGCACGTCAAATATTCCCACTCCAGTAAACATGACAGCGCACTCGTGTCGTTCTCCAGTCCCTCGGATGCAAAGTGAGTGACGTTCAGCGCCTGGGAGCTGGATGCAATGTGTGTAGAGTGGAGAAGGTCAGAAGGAGAAGCAATTGCTCTGTTTGCTGTAGACCAGTGTGTCTCAACCTTGGCAGCTTGAAGATGGGTGGACTTCAACTCCCAGAATTCCTCAGCCAGCCATGCTGGCTGGGGAATCTGGGGGTTGAAGGCCACCCATCCTAAAATTTTCAAGGGTGAAAAATAATGTTCTTGAAGAAGCTGTAAAATTTCCCCAAAACACACACACTGTGTGTGTGTTAGTGTGTTTGTGAGAGAGAGAAAGAGAGAGAGAAATCCCGCTACAAACCCGCTGGAACTCCCAATTGGTTATACAGCACTTAGCTGTTCCCTGTGTGTTAATTGCAACCCCAGCTACCAGTA